TTCATCAATATCGTTACACCAACTTCTCCGTGGTCGTCTTCTCTTTCTTCTTTCAGGAGGGATCCATTCCAGGACTCTTCTAGGTCATCTGTACTCTGGTATTCTTTTAACATATTTAAATGATAATTAAATTAATTCATTACTTGGAAATTGTAAACTGATTATCGATGAACACTTAAATTGACAATAATACTTATTTAAAGTGATTTTAAAAGTATCAAACGAAGGACACCTCGTTTAATACTTGTATTAATGCAAATATAATGCCTCATTATCACGCGAGTATCATGCGACTGTACCATTCACTCATATCATGATATATCAAGTTTCTTGTCAGATATTCATAATTTTAATCCTTCATAAAACTGGACTCTAACTGACAGTAAAGGCGTAGCGAGGCAAAAAACTATTTCATTCCATTGTTGTAAACTAACACAGGTAATTAACTAAAAATATTTTAGTCAGTCAACTAAACAAAGTGAGGAAAATCAAGCCCTTTGAATTTTCTGTATTTTTTGTATTTTAATCATATATACGACATAGATGATACAGGCATGCGGTTACCATGCAGTAAAATATTTTCGAAGCCAATCGGGCCTCGAATGGGCTATATGGGCATGTAGATACGTTGAAATATAAACAATTTGAATAAGTTTTAAACTAGCTGTTGGATCTAGCTAAAATATTGGTTTGTTAAGTATTACAAGAGAATTACTAGACAAAGAGAAAAGAAGAAAAGAGGATACACAAAAGAAAAAAACGTAACCACTTAAATAAGAAACCTATTAACAAGGAAAGATCTATTGAATAGTTGGGTGGAATACTCTAATCAGGTACTTGATATAGAGGAGGAGAAAGAAGAAGAAAACCTGGAAGACGAAAGAAATGAGGTGAGGGAAACAGACGGGGGGAAGAGGAACCACCAACGATTCTTGAACTTACAGATGCAGTTAATAAACTAGACAGAAACTAATCACCTGGAATAGATAATCTTTCAGCTAAACTATAAAATGAAAGGCAGATACCGAGCACTGTTTTATTGAGATGCTGAAATTAACAGAATACAACTGGCATACTCGGCAAACTAGCATATATCTTGAAAAACACATCCATTCCTGTAAACTTAAAGAAAAAGGTGTTTTTTATCATGTATATTACCAGTTAGTACCTACGGCTTGGAGACAGTAGCCCTTACCAACAAATTAGAAACAACGCAAAGAGCAATGGAACGAATCATGCTTGGAATATCACTAAGAGACAAGATTATAAACACCGAGATAGTGATATTGTGGAAGAAATTACAAAAATGAAATGGCTCTGGGCAGGTCACGTAGCCCGATATAATGACAACAGGTGGACACGGAGAATTCTAGAATGGAAACCAAGGACGACAACAAAAAGCATAGCAAGTCCTCAAAAAAGATGGTAGATGACATAAGAGCAGTGGCAGGCAAACAGTGGATTAGATTGGCGCAAGGTAAAGAAAGATTGAAGCAATTGGGAAAGACCTACGTTCAGGAGTGGATGAAAAATTGTTAACAAAGAAAAACTATCTAACAAAATGACGCATCTTCAGGAGCATTGACGAAATGCCCCTGAAGATGCTCTAGGAAGCGAACTTGGGCAAGATTTAATTAATAAAACAGTGCTTAATATCTGCCATTCATTTTAAGTTCATTTATTCGATCATTCGACCTTATATCCATGTTGGCCATGATACCATAATAGCATTACAGCAGCTTATAAAAGAAAGATGGACACAGAAATTCCTCCTCAATGATTGGAATATTGGAATATTTTGCACTGGAAAAAAAGGAGATTCTCTATCCATAAAGGAAAGACCCAATTACTTCAACTTAGATGTCACCTATAAAAAACCCTTATTAGATCCATTTTGAAATCTATAAAATGAAGACAATCCCTAAAACTACATAAAAAAAGCATTTTTTGGATTTTTGAAGATAACCCTCCCACGGGATATCCACCCATACACAAAAAATGGGATATCTTTGAATGCTCTAACCACAGAGGAATTCCACTTCTAAATGCAGCGGATAAAATATGTTCCACACTACTATGTCTCCGTATGGCACCATAATGCAGAACGGTAGTAGGAAAATACCAGGCTGGTTTCAGAGGTTGTAAATCGACAATTCATCAGATTGCAACCCTGAAACAAATTTTGGAAAAAACACTGGAAAATGGCATTGATACTCATCACATATTTATAAACTACAAAGCAGCATACGACTCTGTGAATAGAAGAGAAATGTTCATAGCAATGAAAGAGCTAGGAATGCCAAATCAGTTGGTAAATTTAACAAAACTAACTCTTGAAAAAGTTGAGTGTAAAGTACGAATTTAGGGTGAACTGTCTAAACCTTTTAAAACAAATAACGGACTGCGACAGGAAGACCCTCTCCCCTGTATACTATTCTGTACTGTGTGTAATTACAACCACTGGTTCAATATATAATAACTCAGTGCAAATCCTGACCCATGCTGATAATATAATATTGTTGGGAGAACGGAAAACGGTGTGCGAGAGGCGTATGTAGCATTAAAAGAATCAGCTAGAAAAATGGGTTAAATAATAAACACCAACAAAAAGTAGTAAGAAAAATAAGCACGCAACCACAAAATCCTATGACCACTTGTTACAGAAAACGACGACATCGAAGTAGTGAACGAATTTGTATACCTGGGAGCGCTCCTTAACAGTGAAAATAATACTACCGCAGAGATAAACCACAGAATTTGCACGGTAAACAGATTCTCAATCTCCTTCTTAAATCTACAATTATATCGAGAAATACAAAAATAAAACCCTACAAAACATAGTACTCCCGGTATTGACATATGGTTCAGAGACCTGGACTCTAACAAAAAATAATGAAAACATGTTAAGATGTTTCGAAAGAAAAGTATTAAGGCGAATCTATGGAGCAGTAAAAATCAATGGAGTGTGGAGAAGAGGATACAACTTCGAACTTTATAGAATATACCAGGAACCTGATATCGTAAAAAATATTAAGATAGGACGTCTAAGGTGAATAGGGCATGTAATGCGGATAGAACAAAATGACCCAGAGAGAAAAACGCTCCTTAATAGACTCATTAGTCAGAGAAGAAGGGGAAGATCCAGAACAAGGTTCCTTGATAACGTCGATGAAGACATGAGAAATATGGGAATACGTGCTTGGCGAAGAAAGGCGATGGATAGGGAAAACTGGAGAGAAATTCTTGAGGAGGCTAGGACCTACGCAGGGTTGTAAAGCCAGAATGATGATGATGATAAATACATTTTTAGCGGTAAGCGAAAATTCAAAAAAATATATACCAAAATTTTTGCAGAAAAGTTTGTTTAATATATTATCGAAAAAAACTCGTCCAATAACTGACTATTGAGATGTCCTCAGAAAAAATTATTTTCCTGGACTTGTTTGGTAACATACATTATACGTTAATATATAAAAAAAATCCAAAAAGATTGTACGAAAAGTCATAGGATTCCAGAATTCATAGAATTTTTATATAATAACATTATATTATGACATTATAATGTTTTAAAACGAATAAGTTATAAACAAACTGTTTCATTAGCCTACTTATCACTGCAATTAAAAAAGGTAATCTCGTCAAATGATAAGGTAATATATTCCACTTAATAATTGTATAAAATCTTATCACTTTTATCACAAAATAAACTTTTCGAAAATGTTTATATTAAACTAATGTTAGGTCCCACTTTGAAGGAAATTTTTTATTTTCTTTCTGAAAGTTATTTTATGAACAAATGAGTCAATGAAAATGAACTGAAATGAAATGCAATTTATTTAGCCATTATAGCAACATAGAGGCCTGGGCATACTAGCAGCGACCTCTATAGGAAGTAACAAGAAGTCAGGAGGCTTGTCTTCGATAGCGAATTGTGGTGAACCGCAAATCCAAAGCTTACTGGTAGCTATTAAATGATATTAGGAATAATCTTTTATTTTGACAATATACAGGGTGTCTAGAAACTCTCCTGATAAACGAAGACCGCAGATTTCTCAGATAATTTTAAAACGATTGAACCCAATTCACCTAGTCCTAAAATGCTTCCCAAGGGAACTCTTTGAAGATGGCGCCTTGTAAGTCGTTTTTTTTAATAACTCCAGAACGCTCCTATTTAGAAAAATAAAAACTGGAACAATTATTTATCCTCCAGAGTTGAATCGATTATATTAATTGCGAATTTCTAGTACCGTTCATAGGCATCCGTTTTGGGTAGGTCAACGGGTATTTTAACGGATAACTTTTTTGTATGTAACTTTTTGCCATTTGTGATACTAGATTATTAAATATTCAGATATTCTAGAACTGAAAGGTACTCTTGCTTTAAATCTGTAGGATATACCGTTTTCTAGAAAAATCGATTTGAAAATTTTTTAAGCAGGAAAATCTTCTTGTAGCAGTGCTTGTACCTTTCTAAAATAAAAGGATACAAATTGTCGTCGTGTAAGATATTTCTTGCGCAAGATTTTGAAATTGTGGGATACATGACAGATAGTCTTCGAAAGCTAATTTCTAATATTTCCTGAACTTCCATTAAAGTGACATCTTGATGTGCTGCTGATCATTATGTAGCTCTGGTTCATTATTTTTTGAGAACACTGAACTTGTTTTTCTTAACCGGAAAATTTTTCCATTAGTAAAAACCATTTTATTTGAATTAAAATTATTGTGTTTGAATACCACAAGGTAAAAGCTAAAAGATAAACTTCACGAACTGACAAGGGTTTGACAATGAAAAACGTAGGTTATAGTTCTGTTGACAGTTCAAGGCCTACTAGTGCAAAAATATTAATTTAACTTTCATGAAGAAAAAACTTGTTAAATTGTCATCTATTTTGTTTTATTTAAAGAGTTTTACTACAAGACGAAGACTTTGTAACAACGAAAAATATAGATTAAAAGAAAGAATATTGTTTATTTACATTATAAAATTTATATTTCAGGTTTCAAAAACGGTATGGGGATGTAGTACGTTTAGCAGGAATATGGGGACGCAGAGATAAGATATTTCTGTATGATACAGATGATATGGAAGATGTGAGTATATAATAACCTTCGTATAAAAGTATCACTTTTTAGCACGGCTGTTTTAGCAATTGAAGCACACTGCGATTTGAAATAGGCGTATCACTTACTTTTCTACACTGCTTACGCCAGACCATCTTTACTCAGTGGCGCCGAGTAGTTTAATGACAAAAAATGAATTATTCTCCATTCAAATTAGTTTTAACATCAACTAACTGACCGTACGTTCATGAGATTTGACATCACGAAGGCGATAACGATCAAACTAAGCGATAATGATGAGTAACACGTTTCACTATTAGATTTTAGTATTTTTTAGCAATTTTCTTCAAAGTTGGAACACGCTTTTCTGGATTATATCTGGACCCAGAAAGGTGAAAAAATCAACGATTACAGAAAAAAAATTCTTTCAAGTGATGGGCGTAAAAAGTTTAGTTAGAATAGAACGTTAAACAGTATAATCCAAAATTTCAAGAGAAGTTTCAAAAAAATAAAAAAGTAAAACCATCATTTTAAAGGCATCATAATTTCGAATAACGTGTCCAAGTTTCGAGATATTTTGTCGGTAAATAACAGAGAAAACACTGTCCCTAGGTTTTGGTGCACTGATGAAACAGACTTAATGCATATAAAGTTTATTAAATAATACTAAAAAAAAAGTTTATTGGGAAATTTTAAAACAATAGCCGTAGCAAAAATCTTCAAAAGTAGAAAACTTTGAAGAAACATATCGGTTAAATATAAATAATGATTATAAAATACAAATAATATAAATATTTAAAAATACTGTTTGAATTCGAAAAGCGAATTGAATATGTTGTGGGCTGATAAATATCGTCCTAAGGACCTGTCAAGTGTAGATTACCACACAGACCAAAGTGTGAATTTGAAAAATCTCACAAAAGATGATGATTTCCCCCATTTGCTTATATATATGATCCATGGGGGTTGGTAAAAAGACTCGAATTATGTGTTTATTGAAAAAATTATATGGTGCTGGATTACAGAGATTAAAAATGGAAATGATGCATTTTACCACTCCTTCAAACAAAAAGTGTTAAATTATGACTTTGAACAGCAATCATCACATAGTAGTAAACCCTAGTGATGTAGGTACTTATGATAGAATTGTGGGTATGGATATAACAAAAAATGTTGCACAAAGTCAATAGTTGAATGTTAATGCCCAAAGAGAATTTAAAGTTATAGTACTACTGATGTAGATGACGTCACAAAAAATGCCCAACATGCCTTAAGAAGAACTATGGAAAAGTATATTGCAAACTGTCATATAATACTTTGTGCAAAATCAATATCAAGGGTAATACCTGCTATTAGATCTCATTGTGTGTGTATTAGAGTACCAGCGCCTTCAAAGGAAGCCATACTTAGTATATAAGGAAACATATCTTGCTTAAAATTTATCCTAGAATCTTCTGCAATATAGTATTTTAAAGGTAAACAATTTTTTCATTGCATAAACCTAAAACTGCGTAAAAAAAAGTTGTAGAACAATGTTTGCGAAAAATAGGCAAAATTGCCCAAAAATGGGGTGAGTGGCGAACTTTAAAATATCTTATCTTGAATACTATGATCCCTTAGGACGTTTACTACGTTTGTAACAAACGTCGTCGTGAAGACGAAGAGAAGTTTGTTTTCTGTAAAACAACATCTATACCTATACCCTCGTGGAAAAAGGTATGAGATAAAAAAAATCGCGTTTTTTCATGTTTTCTATTATATCAGATCATCAGTGAAAAACGTCTATAAAGTAGTTGGAACTAGCCACATAATTGACATAATGAGGTCCCCTTAAATTACATAATTTGAGTAACAAACATTATAATTTTAAGATACTAGGTTGATGATAAAGGATTACATTTTTTAAGGAAACGTACAATTTTCCAGTTCGAAAAAGGGGACCTTACGCCCTGAGAGATAACGACCAACTTAAGACTTGGTTTTATTTATTTTTTTTCCGCCAAGATGCAATATTCGTACTAAAACAGATTACAGAGCAATCTTTGATCAACTTAAAGAAGGCATTTGACAGAATAAGATTTAAAGGTGTTCATATCTTGTATAATAAAGAAATCCTGCTGGATATTATAAAAACAATTTAAAAAATCTGTCAAAACAATCAGATGGAAGTCAGAATAGATGGCCAACTTACGGAACTTATAGATACAAGCAACACAGTAAGGCAGAGGAATAAGCCCTATGCTATTTAATCTAATCATGGATGAAGTTAAAAAGAGTTTCAATAAAAAAAGACGATATAGAATGAGAAATAATGAAATTAAAATTCCGTCATACGCAGACGATTCAATATTGATTGCTCAAAATGAAGATAGCCTTCAAAGACTAGCTTATAGATTTAATACAAGAGCAAGACAATGTAACATAATGATTTCAACTCAGAAAATAAGAACAATAGTAACCAGTAAAGAACCATTGTAATGTAAACTAGAAGTCGATGGAGTTAGCATTGAACAAGTAATGGAAATAAAGTAGGAAAAATTCCTTATACATTTGTAGATCTACTGCATTCTGTAACATGTATTTCTATGTTTATTCTTCTAGTACGAAATACCTAATAATATTTTTACAGATTCTTCGCAATAGCGGCCCGTTCCCTACTAGATTTCTTATGGACGCCATTTTCTATTATCGACGTGACGTAAGAAAAGATTTATTTAAAGGAAACCTGGGACTTGCTTTATTGTAAGTTTTTTTTTTGTATTTACTGTAAATATATTGTAGGCGTTAAGCAATAGTCGGGACCATGAATCTTTATGCATGCGTCATCACTTAAAGCATACGAAATAATATGGTTTCGTATACTTGCCAAAAATCTCGTAATCATCGAAAATATAACAATTAACTATAATATCATACAAAAAACAAAGACAAATACCTGGAACATGATATCAAAATAGTTTGGCAGCATTTGGCAAACTAAGCCATATTCTGAGAAGTTCAGTTTCCATTATGTCTGAAGCGAAAGGTTTATAACCAATTTGTTCTGCCTGTAAAAACTTAAAAAGCAGAGATTTTAACGCCGACACAAAAATCCGAGAATAAAATAAAGTCAGTTACACAATGAGATTTGAAAAGTGTAATGCTAAGCATGAAGCTTCGAGAGCGCATAACAACCAACAAATGGGTCAAAGATCAGGCATTTGCCGTCCACGCTAAAGAGGAACTGTGTATGGCACTTGAGTCGCCGTGAAAAGAGTAGCAAGAAACTGGCTACAAAAGGCCACCCGGTGTAAAAAAATCAGAAGAGACTGTGGAGGCTTATGTCCAGCAGTAGGCCTTAATAATGATATTTGTATGTAAATTACAAACACATTCGAATTTAAACCGATTTTCTTGTCTTAAATGTTAGCTTTGTTCGTTTTATGTAAGGACAGTTTAATAACACGTTTTTGGATTGCGCTATAGAGAAATATGTGTTTATTATCCACTAAAGAAACGTATTTATTATACTGTTAAAGTGGTAGATGAAAATACCTATAATAAAAGCTTTGTGTTATTTTAGACAAGGTGAGGAATGGTATAAATTAAGAGCTATCGTAAATCCAATATTAATGCAACCTAAAACAATTCAGCAATACACCACAAGAATGGATGGAGCAGCTAAGGACCTCATGAAGCTTATTGCATATCGCATGAAAAGTAGTGGGACTAATACAACGTCCGAAGATTTTGAGAAAGATCTGTACAAATGGGCATTGGAGTCAGTTGCGATTATTGCTTTAAACAAACCAATAGGTATCGTATTTTTTCTTATTCTATAACAATCGACAATTTCGCTGATTATTTAAAATAAATATCTTTGGCATTCAAAGAGTGACTGTAATTTAAAATTAGTTCATCACTGTGATAGAGCTCTTAAAGGACCTAGACTTTCTCAAGCTTTCTCTGCCATTCTGATCTGTTCCTTGCTTGGATTTTTCAATTAGAAACACTCTTCTATTCAGGTAACTAAACGCTTAATAAATTAGGCAGTTTTCTTTGCCACTTTGAAACAACATCAAGGTTAGAATTTGCAGCCTCAATTGTTTCACTTCACCTGTTAGAGAAATTGCTCTATCCAGAAAATCCAGTGGCGCACCCAGAATTTGTCTGAGAGGGGGCTGAATTTTTTTTATGCTACCTGCATTTTGAGTCCCTAAAATTTGGCTTTTAGGTTAATTTAAAGTACTAAAGATATCAGTGCCAAAGATTAAGGTATCTATTATTCGCCTACCAACTAAAACCACCCTCTCTTACTTGTGCAGTTGACTATCACACGTACCGTACACCGAAAGTTGGCTGGCCGCTGTAAGGCTGAAGACAAATTTGGAGCACTCCCTTCTCTTATCTAGATCTTATCTTATTGTTCTGAACCTATTTTCTTATGGGATTTTAAAATAATCATTATTTTAATGGAAATAAGCCACAATTAAAGGTTAAAATAAGTTTATTGACGTTCGACATTAATCCAACTTGTAAATACAATACATTTTGGAGACGGCTATCGCCGTATTCCCGTTCTCCTCAGCCAATCCTCCCGGTCCAAGGCATCCTCCTCCTCCAAACCTCTCGATTCCATCGCTCTTCTAACTCCTTTATTCCATGAGCGTCGAGGTCTACCTCTTTTTCTTCTTTCAGGGGGCTTCCATTTGTGAAGTTTTTGTGGCCAACGTTTGTCAGGCATTCTCAATAGATGTCCAAACCATTTTGAACCTCTACTTTCTATTCTGTCAATGACCGTTGCTGTAGCATTCATATTATTTCTTATATAAAGTTGGCCCTATATCGTTGATGTTCTTTCTCTTGTTTTCCTGCATTGATGTTCTAGCACTTCTTCTCAAATAATCCATTTCAACTGCCAACAATCTTCTCTTCAGGTTTGCATTAATTGTCCATACTTCAGAGCCATAACAAAGAACTGATTCAACCTTGGTTTGTCCAATTCTTTTTTTGTTCCTTTTGGAAATGTTGCGATCCCACCATAAGGAGCTCTGACATCCTACAATTTTACGTCCCTGAGTAATTCGGTGTTTAATTTCGGCTTCTTCTCCCAAGCAGTTCTTAGCAATGAGTGCTCCTAAATATTTAAATTTTTCCACTTGTTTGATTTCCACGTCCTCGTCTATCACTTGCATCTGAATTTATAACTAAATATTCTGTTTTCTTATGCTGACTTGTAACCCCCATTTTACATATTCTCTGTATAGATGCTTTATCATAAATTCTAAATCATAAAAATTTGAGGACGACTTCTTCATTCGCAAAGTTCAGAGAGAACAGAACGTCATTTTCTATAGGATTCCCATTCCCTGCAGTCGTTTTTCCAATTTTAGAGGGCTGCCTCAATGTATAAATTAAATAGTAAGGGGGACATACTGCATCCTTGTTTTAGTCCTTAGTTACTTTTATTGGCTCTAATAGTCTATTTCCGATTTTTAGGTAAGTAATGTTATCTCTGTATACTTCTGTGATTATTCCTAAAAGGTATGGACTAATGTCGAGTTTTTGTAAAGCTTGCCACAATTTAAGTCTTTGAACTATATTATACTTCTTTTCTAGGTTGATTAAGGCTATATGTACTTCGGTACCAAGCGCTATTCTTTTTTCTATTAATTGTTGGAGTATAAACAAGTTATCAATGCAAGATCAAAGATCAAAGGTTCAATAGGTTCAAAGGTTCATAAATTACTCCATTAAAATATTAATTAGATCTTATCTCTGTCGTTGGCCCGGCAGGTGTTTCCCTTCTTCTTCTATCTTTTTAATGATTGCTCGGATGTAATTGGGATCACTATCCCATTCCTCCGTACTTCCCGTCATCTCCACGATCATCTCCCTTACAGTCACAGGATTTATGACGGAATATTCGCAGTATAGGCATTTATCTGTATCTGCCTTTCTGAACATATGAAGATACTCCCTAAAACAGATAATCTACTCAGTCCCTTAGGCTCGGCATCTTGGTTCACTGGACAACATCTTCCTTGTTGTTCCACGCTTCTTGCCATCTTTCCATTGATCTTTCCCCTTCTTCTTTTTTTATAGCTGTTGTCAAATGCTCTCTTCTGTCATAGATATGTCTCTTTTCTAGTGCTAAGACATGAAGAGGAACGCAACCCGTGATTGTCCACAAGGCCGCCGCAGATACAGTCCTGTAGGCGCATGCTACTTGCAACATACACGTTTTGTCTACTTTTGTCATAAGCCTAATATTAGGTATCTATATCTAAATATAATGAAAAATATTATAACGTCCTTATAATTCTAATTTATTGTCCTTAATTTAATTTACTAAAGGTTCAACATTTATAACACTTACAAACTTAATTTATTTAAAGTTTATTTATAATAATTTATCTTACAATAATTTATTATTACGTTCATTACATTAAAACACGCGTTCGCGATTTTCTTTTCTAACTGGTCTTCTTAATGAAAATCCCACGTTATTTATATGAAACCATTGGGACATTGTCGAAAGTTCGATTGCATTCTCGACGTAGACAGAGCGGCAAATTGGTCTAAAAATTGGTCTTTTCACATCGGCTCGTCTCCAGAAAATTCGATCGTTGTTTTTATAGCGAAGAGGAGGAGAGTTTTGTCTCCTAGAAAAATCGTGAATGAACAGAATATTAGTAATAGATATGTTTACGGTTTTTTGATATGACTCATATATTTTTTTACGTAACAATATATTAATTTTTGTGTATTTATACAATAATGAAAACGAATTACCACAACTCAATTTTTAACACAAAATGAAAACCGTAGTTGGCTTATTTATAAGAATATATTCAAATAAAAAAATTACCGTTGGATTGGTGGATGGTATATATTTGATTATTGGTTATATCCTTTTGGCAGGAACACTAGAAGAACTGCAACACCTTGCTGAACAACTAAATATATATTGCAACGATTATGGACTAAAAATCAATTTGAAGAAAACAAAGTTCATGGTATTTACAAAAGCAAAAAACATCAAAGTTAAGCTAGTACTAGACAATACAGAAATTGAACAAATATCTTCGTACAAATACCTTGGAGCATGGATCACAGAAGATACTGATCAGACAAAAGAAATAAGATGCCGCATTGAAATTGCGCGGTCAACTTTTAATAGAATGAGAAAAATTTTTTGTAATCGCGATATCAATATATCGCTCCGGATAAGAATGCTTCGATGTTATATTTTCTCTACCCTTTTGTATGGAGTTGAAGCTTGGACACTTAAAAAATCCAACATTAAAAACCTAGAAGCATTCGAAATGTGGTGTTACCGACGCATTTTGAAAATATCATGGATGGATCGCAAAACAAACGAACAAGTTCTCGAACAACTAGTAAAACAATGCGAAGTTTTAGATTTCATAAAGATCAGGAAATTGGAATACTTGGGGCACATCATGAGAGGTGAAAAGTACGAACTACTAAGGAATATAATGCAGGGTAAAATCAAAGGTAGAAGAAGCGTAGGAAGACGTAAAATCTCGTGGCTACGCAATCTCCGTGAGTTATTTGGATGCAGTTCAATTGAACTATTCAGGCGAGTAACCAATAAAATTATAATTGCCAGAATGATTTCCAATCTCCGATAGGAGTGGAACTTGAAGAAGAATATATTTGACAAAACTATTAGGATGTTTGGAAATTAACTTTATCTAACTTCACCTTAGATCTAGTTCACATCGATACTCCATACCGAGCGGACGTTAAATGGTTCTCTGTTATCAACATTCGACCGGTTTTCTCGATTTGAACAGATAAATGTGAAGTGATTAAAAAGCAATCAATTAGTAATAGACTTAAAAATAATAAACTCATCAAATTAAATTTAAAAACAATACAGTAATTTATTTATAATGTTTCCAACGGGAAATGGACCAGGATTCGACAACTACATAGTTAGCCAACAAATACAAAATGTAAACAGCCAGCCATTACCAATCCAGTATCCATCAAACCAAATGAATTGTTACCCACAAATGCAGATTCCAAACAACACACAGGGTCAATCACAAATCAACAATATACAGGGTTATCCACAAATCTCATCACAAATACCAGGTATGTACAATATGCAAATAAATCAACCAACCACTAATTCTTCGACGAATATGATATTTCCGCCCAATCAAGAACAATATATAAATCAACAAAACGCGGCACACAACAGCAATATAAATAACAGAAATAGCCAGCAATACTACAGAATGTCATCAACAAGCGATGACGAACCAGAAAGTGCAAATGTGTCAACAAATAACTCATGGCAAGTAGTTAAAACTACAAAACGCAGAAAAATCAGATCAAATGTAGAAACAGACAAAGAAGATGATACCATTACACTATCGAACAAATATAATACCCTAACGGATACCCAAGAAAATGAAACCAATCAAAATGAAACAGCGCCAAGAATACCTAAACCACCACCAATATTTGTTTACGATGTAAGCGACTTCCCAGAAATGAGGAAAAAATTTACAGAAATAGCTGAAGCTGAACAATACGAAACCAGAACTATGGCAAATAATACAGTCAAAATAATTTGTAGCGATCCAGAAATATACAGAAAATTCTCCAGATATATGAGAGAGAACAACATTATTCATCACACATATCAACCAAAGGAAGAAAGGGCCTATAGAGTCGTAATTAAATACCTTCACTATTCACATGCAACAGAAGACATCAAAGAAGAACTGACAAAACTGGGTCACAAGGTAAGAAACATCATTAATGCTAAACATAGGATTACAAAAGAGCCGATAAATATGTTCTTTGTTGACCTTGAACCATCAGACAATAACCAAGATATTTATAAAATTCAGAAACTACAACACTACAATATACAAATTGAACCACCTATAAAAAACAAAAATATCATCCAATGTATGAGATGTCAATTATATGGCCATTCAAAAACATATTGCAATAGACCATATGTCTGTGTGAAATGTGGAGGACAGCACAGTACAAGCAGTTGTAAAAAGAACAAGAACACACCAGCTACATGTGCTTTATGTGGAGGAGATCACCCAGCTAACTATAAAGGATGCGAATATTATCGTAATTTAAATAGAAATAAAAATATAGCACAAACTACATATAATCATCACCAAAATATGTCGCAAGCACGTAACAGAAACTTTATACCCAACACAGTAAGACCAAATGTAAGCTATGCTAATGCAGCGGGTAATAGACAACCTCCTGCTGCTCCTTCAGATAACCAAGATTCAAACACCATTCTTATGAAGTTTTTAGAAGAATTCAAAGCCATGTTTAATCAAATCTTGCAACAAAACAGCATGGTAATAAACATGCTAAGTAAACTCATATGCAAATAAAATTCTTTCTACGAATAGCAGAATGGAACGCCAATGGCCTGCTGAATCATAAGGACGAGGTGATAATATTTCTACAACAAAATTTTATAGATGTATTATTAATAAGTGAGACACATTTTACAGACAAATCGTATTTTAAAATACCTCAATATCTAACGTACCATACTAACCATCCAGACAAGACAGCCCATGGAGGTACAGCAATTTTGATCAAACAATCAATTAAACATTTCATGATGGAAAGTTATATAACAGACTGTATCCAAGCTACAGTAATTAAAGTGTGCTCATTACCTTACGAAATAACAATAGCAGCAGTGTATTGCCCTCCAAAGCACAATATTAAAAAAACCGATTTCGCATCCTTCTTCAATACTCTAGGTCCAAAATTTATCGCAGCTGGTGACTTCAATAGTAAACACACGTACTGGGGATCAAGATTAATAACAACAAAGGGGAGAGAGCTTTATAGCTTAATGCAAGAAAATAAATACTCATATTTATCAACAGGAACACCAACGTACTGGCCAACGGACCCCAAAAAAAGACCAGACCTCTTAGATTTTTGCATCATAAAAGGAATATCTAACACCTTTATGGACATAGTTCCAAGTTATGATCTATCTTCAGATCATTCACCAATTATTGCAACAATTGGCACCTGCGTTATTAACAAACAACCTACTCCAAAACTGCATGGACCTAGAACAGATTGGAACGTTTACAGAAAAATACTGGATGAAAACATTAAACTAAATGTAAGACTAAGAAGCCCTTCAGAAATAGAAGCAGCTACAAACAACTTTATGACATTATTACAAAACGCTGCAAAAGAAGCGACACCGAACGATGCAGATAAAAATAAAATCGAGAATAGAATAAATATTCCACTAGAAATTAAAAAGCTCATTGCTGAAAAAAGAAGAGCAAGAGCCAAATGGCAACAAAGTCGGAACCCAGCGGATAAAACGTTTTACAATCGCTTAACCAATAAATTAAAAACACAACTAAAAATTGCAAGAGAAGAATCAGTCAAAAAATATGTAACACAACTTAATAGATACGACCATTCAATATGGAAACCAATCAAATCATCCTTAAAACCTCAAGCAATATCGCCACCAGTAAGAAAAACCACAAACACACAGAACCAATGGGCAAGAAGCGATAAAGAAAAATCCGAATTATTTGCTGAACATTTAGCAACAGTATTCCAACCACACAACAATGAAGAAGATCAAGAAATTATTAATTATTTAAACTCAGAACAACCGTCAGTAAATCCAATAAAATTAACAACACCCAAAGAACTTAAAGAAGAAATCTTAAAACTAAATATCAAAAAGTCACCAGGAATTGACCTAATAACTCCAAAAATGCTAAAGGAATTACCAAAAAAGGGTATAGTGATCCTTACATATATATTTAACGCAATATTAAGATGTAATTATTGGCCTAACAATCTAAAAATTGCAGAAATACTTTTATTTCCAAAACCAGGAAAGGATCCAAGTGAAGTCTCATCCTATCGACCTATCAGTCTGTTATCAACAATCTCCAAATTACTAGAAAAACTTTTAATAAAAAGAATAGATCCAGGCCTTACAGGCGCAGACTGGATACCAAATTTTCAGTTTGGATTTCGACGAGAACACTCAACTATCCAGCAATGCCACCGAATAACCCATAAAATCAATTCCGCATTAGAAGAAAAGGAATATTGCCCAATGGTATCACTAGATGTACGTCAAGCTTTTGATAAGGTTTGGCATAAAGGACTTCTTTATAAAATTAAACAAATATTACCACCCTTCTTTCGAATACTTACATCATACTTGGAAAACCGACAGTTTAGAACAAAAGTAAATGGAGAAATATCTAAAATGCATCCCATTAAGGCGGGAATTCCACAGGGCAGTGTCCTGGGACCTTTATTATATATATTATATACTTCTGATCTACCAACTTCGCATAACGTAACAATTGGCACATTTGCAGATGACACAGTAGCACTTACCAGTCACAAACACATTAACATAGCTACACAACAACTCCAAGATTATTTGTATGAGCTTGAAAACTGGCTAAAACAATGGAAAATAAAAATTAATGAAAACAAGTCAACCCACGTAACTTTCACTTTACGACGAGAAACACCACCACCAATATATATCAACAATGAGGAAATACCCAGGACTAAAACAACCAAATACCTAGGGCTACACCTGGACCAAACCCTGTGTTGGAAAGAACACATCACCAAAAAAAGAAAACAAATACAACTAAGACAAAAAGAAATCAATTGGTTAATTGGAAAAAACTCCAAACTGTCAATAAATAATAAAATTCTAATTTATAAAACAGTTATTAAACCAATATGGACATATGGCATAGAGCTGTGGGGCTGTAGTAGTAAATCTAATATTGCTATTATGGAAAGATGTCAATCAAAAATCTTAAGAGCAATTGTTGATGCACCCTGGTACGTAACCAACCAACGAATCTATGAGGATCTCAATATCTCAACAGTGAAAGAAGTATACCAGCAAAAGAAATTACAATACATTCAAAAAGTGAACACACACTCCAACCCATTAATTTCCGCAATACCTCAACATCAAGTTATCCGAAGACTAAAGCGACGTTGGCCAACAGACCAGTAACATGGACCCGTGATTCTCTCACTGGAGGGACCACATCACGCCAGAACCAAGGGACAGGACTTAAACTCATCACATTAACTTATAGAATATATTGTTTTATTCTGATTGTTAATTTATTAGTTATAATAAAAAAAAAAAAAAAAACCTTAGATCTGTCGGTGGGACCATCTAATGGACAATAAAATATTCAAATCTAGAGTTCGTCTTCGAGAAATAATATGCAATGTTTTTTGGGCAGGCTATAAATACCGTATTTTTGACAGGTTACGTATCTTAATAATAATAAAATAATGTCAACGCAGAAATACGTTTTAAAGTATATGTAAATCAAGAAAGCTATTTGATTTATGAAGATCTCGTTTTTAGGAGCTCTTGATGTCAATATAGACAAAAACTCAGAAATCAACAAATTGGTTCTATCTGTATTGAAGTTCTTCGATCAAAGTTTCTATTTAGAAAACATGCCACCATATTGGAAGTATCTTCCCTCCAAGAGGCTTAAAGACTACTATAATAATCTTGACTATATGCATGGGTGAGTAAAAATTTAATTCGTTCTTATTTAGTGGAGTTGACATAAAAAAAATTAAAACAATTCTTATTCAAGTTTTAATTAATAGTGATGAGTGACACGTATTTTAGCTTCTGTATCTACATTTTGATTAACAATATCTAATTTTACAAATAACACGGTCTCAAAAATCTAATTATTGTTGACTACCATGTATCACAATCAATAAACGTCAGTTTTTCATGGCAAACTTAGAGAAAATCGGGATATACCTATTAGAACTTTATCATTAGTAACTTTATACCAGCATCGGTTAGTACCTCATAATTTTCAAATCAAAATATTACGAAAACTTAAATTTTTTTTAGTTCTTTTAAAATTTTGATTAATAATTCTACCCTTAAAAAGTTATGTTGAATAATACTTAGTATGAGCCTTGTAGCTAGCGCCCTCTATGAGAGTAAGATATAAAAACAAATTTACGAGATGTATCAGCTTACAAGACATATTCATGTAAAATTTTATTTAAATATTGCCAGTAGTTTGGACAAAATCGTAAAACATGTGTAACATTTGTTTCCTCATCGACTTTAATCTTGAAAACGGATATCGTTACAAAAATTTTTTGCTAAGTAAAAATACATTATTTTTCAGTATTTTACCTATCCTAGAGAGTGTGTTACCTATTTTTGAAACACCCTATATTGATATTTTAAATTTAACTTTCAGAATCTGTCACAGTTTCATTTGTGACATAATCCTTCATACTCTTCTAAAGAATAATCAATTTTTGTAGCACATAACAAGTAACCGCTTTTGTTCAATTTTAGTATTCTCTCCAGAATGATTGATGAATCTTTAGCATCATTTAAAAATCAAAACGTACCAGATGATGAGCTTGGCGTACTGCAGCGATTACTCAAAGTAGATAAGCAAACTGCATTTATCATGACTATGGATATGATAACAGCAGGAGTTGATACGGTAACTAAAATATTTTAAAATAACGGTAAAGGTAGGGATATATTCATTCAAATATAAGCTAAACAGTAGGTACGAATTGTCGTCATTATCACATTAACATTAAAAATGTCAAACGAAGTTCTGAAAGAGTAAACAAATAATTAATAAAATGCCTATTACGTTGTATACCGTCCAAGAAAAAGTGCAACTGGTAAATATGGTACTTTCAGGGTCATTCGATACGCGAAGTAATTGATTTACTTATTGTAGCCTTTGAAAATAGACCCCCATCAAGTGTTACAACAGCTAAAAATACCGTTAAACATTTTCAAACTTCGGGATGTTTAAACAGTTGTAAAAAGTGTCATGAAGGTAATGAACCAACTGTTAGACCTGTCGATGAGGAGCGTCAAAACAAAGATATTGATATTTGTGCTTTTTTGGAAGCTAGTGAACCCTGCAATAGTGTACAAATTGCTAGGGAAGTTAACGTGAATGCTCTAACTGTCCAGCGACTTCTCAAACGGAACGGGTATCACTGTTTTAAGATACAACCAACACAAGAACTGATTCCGTAAGAGAACTTTAGGCAAATGCAGTTTTGTGAATTTTTGTTAAATAAACAGAATAAAACATTTATTTTCATTACATAAAAAACACAATCCATCCGTTGCAAGGTATTATTCTCGGAAGAATAAGCCCCTCAGTTTTGCAGTGCGAACGCAGCATCCGCAAAAGTTAAATGTTTGAACTTGGATGTTAGGCGATCATATTTTCGGTCCATTTTTTATCGATGAAAACCTAAACGGGTCCAAATATTTACAACTTTTACAGAATGAGATCATTCCGGCAGTTCGACGCCTTCCCGTTAATTTTCAAGAGGTTTGTTTCCAACAGGATGAGTGTTCGGCACACAACTCTAGAGCAACTATTGACTTGATTCAAAACATTCAAATCAAACGTTTCCTGATCGACTGATAAGTACACGTGGTACAATTAAATGGCCCGTTAAATCCTGTAACTTAGCGCCTACCAATTTTTTTTTGGGTTTTTCTCAAACAAAACATTTATAGACATCAGTTTAAAAGGGCCACAAACCCAGTCGAATTAAGGGCAAAAATACTTAATTTCACTGCAAGCATTACACCAGGCCTACTCCAGAATATAAGAAGAAATCTGTATGACATATTTGGTTACTGTTTAGTACAAGGAGGTGAAATATTTGAGCCCTTAATTCATTAATCTGCTTTTCTAATTTTTATTTTTTATTAGATACATTTTACGAAGTTTGTAGGTTCCTAATTAGGTATTTTTAATACTACCTAAAAATAGGTAGTATTTTTTATGTAAAAGTACAAACGATTCTTATTCTGATTTTTTTTTCTTCTTTCTTGTTTTATTGTTATAAGCTTTGTCCATAAAATTTGTACAATTTTCAAAGACAATAAAGCATATTACTTATTTAAAACAAACATATCACCAGGTTAAGTGGAATTACAGTTTCTTTAAAAAAATACTTGGTTTAAGGAAAAAATAACAATAACATTATCACAGGACATTTTAACAACTTTTTATTATTATATTAGAAACTTTGAAAGCTTCATTGCTAGGTACAATGTGAAATTTTTTTTACAGAAAGAAAAAATTGGCAGTGCATTAAATTGGTGGCATTAAGATATGTGTTCCATGATACAACAAGTGTTCTTCTTCTTCTTCGTTTTTTTGGGTTTCGATTGTATAATCATTTACCCAGTACATGTAACATTATGCGTGTCTTGCTCTAGGCAATACACAACCAGGGATACATTTAAAAGTTGAGAATGACTTAATGTGACTGTTTGTTTTGTATTAATTTTTATCTGGACTTTATCTTTATTGTTAATCAGATGAATTTCTATATCAGAAAGAATAGAAAACAATAACTTTTAGATTTCTACATTAGAATCTACATTATTTCAATGTTTTCTTTTTTTTTATTGAAATCTTCATCTAAAAACACTAAATGTGGCTAATCTCACTTAAGTGGCTAATGCCAAATTTCTTGTTTATGGTTTTCTCAATTTTAGAGACAAAAGCCATCTTAAGAAACAATCTTTTAAAATAATTGTTTTCAATTGTTAATATCTTGGCTTCTATGTAGTTTATTGTGTGATCGTTTTGGTTAACGTACATATATACATAGGTATACATGTTTTTTCTTTGAGTTTAGAGAAGACTGAATTTATCGTTACAACTGTTTTATTAGCTTAAAATGGTATTAGCTATTATTGCCCATTTTAAAATTATTTCTTGGTTCATTTCATCAACATAATCCCTCCAATTATAATCTCATACCAAATTTATTCTAGCGTCACGTTTTTTACTAATACTAAATGAAAGATCTTTTTCAGACGGGAAAAACTTTTGGAGCGGTGTTATACTTTCTGGCCAAAAATCCAGAGAAGCAAAGCATACTTCGTGAAGAAATATTAAAATACCTCCCAGAAAAAGACACAGTGTTAACAGCCGAAAAGTTGTCTGAAATGCATTACTTAAGAGCTGCCGTGAAAGAGAGTAGTAGGATTGCCCCAGTTGCTATTACCGGCATCAGAACTACTTCAAAGAACATGATTATAGGAGGTTACCAAGTCCCAAAGGGGGTAAGTACTAGTTTTTTTATTGTGTGCTAAATTACTGGATATGAAATAAACAAAACGTTTTCGAAACCAAAATTCAGATAATTCACCAAACCTATAATTTTCAAGCTATACATGAGTGGACTAACATAGGGAATCTAAATTTGCATTCCACAACATATCAAGAACCTTTGGAGACTTGATTTCTTATACTTAAAATGTGAGTAAATAAAGATACAGGACTTATCAGGACTCCTTCGAGGGACTATGCAGAAGCTCTAAACTCTAAACTTCTAAAGACACAAAATCAAAAACTAAGCCGCTACATATAGGGTACCGAACCCTACAAAAAACAGAGACATCAGATTGTGCATTTGCAGTTGATGTAACAATACATCGACATCGAACATCGACAGAAGCAGATATCCAAAGAAGTGTAACTAAATGGTGGAATTAAAAATGGAGTCGATGGCAGAGTTTTATCATATTCCTGATAAATTTATTTTCTGCATATGTTATAAAAGTGGCAAAAAGGACTTAAACATATTTTAAAGTAGTTTATTTTTGAATTCCGTTTTAAACAAATATCAAACAATTGTTTTTTACAAAAATTAGATTATATTAATATTTATTTTGAATTTTGTTTCATAAAAGTGACTAACCAGCCGCAAGAAGGAATCGTATTCCATATCCAATCTTTATGGTGGGCTACATATGATTTTTAGAATACTTATTTTTTGTTTTAGACCGATGTACTGCCTATGCATTTTTATGCATCAACTTTGATAGACAAAAATTTTAAAGAACCTTCTAGATATATGCCAGAAAGATGGCTACGATCTGTCAGTAACGAGTACTCCGCGAAAAATGCTCATGCATTCGCCTACATGCCGTTTGGACACGGCGCCCGTTCTTGCATCGGAAGAAGATTTGCTACCTTGGAAGTGGAAGTGGCGGTGGCAAATGTAAGTATGAAATATAATTTCTTTAAGATTATTAATATTTTAGTACAGTCCTAAAGTTTTTATACTTATTTAGCGCAAGCATTTTAATATTGTATTAATCCCAATTAAATCATAAATAGAACACAAAGTGCCAGTGTCTGATCAACATGGTATTTATGACAGTCCATTTAGTCCCACAATACTTTCGGTTTCTAAAAGCGGCAACCTAAACAAAATAAGCGTCAACCTAACATTTGGTACACCATTTGGTACACCCCATTCAAAAATATTGTGGAAGGACTGACTTTTTCCGCTGTCGCTGTTTATCACTGTGAGATTGATATTTGAGCAGGTTGTGCAATGACGTATTTTAGTCTAGTCACCGGACAACGTACGGCATAGGAAAATAAATATGAACCTCCTATTGGTCCTAACATAAACGCCATTTACGAGTCAGCCTAACCTGAAATTTTTACATTTTATGTTTTGTTTATTTTCTAATTGTATTTAAATAGTATTCAGAATTTTAAAAGACTAAATAGTGTACTAAATAGAACATTGACTTTTAAACTTACACAATTAGTAGTTTTTATCGTAACTCGTTATGAACTGTACTTGAAACAGAGAAACTAACCGATTTTAACAGTGGAAGATATTCTAGTTCTCTCCTTAAAAAAATGCTTCCATTTAAAAGTAGGAATGATTTTTCTGTAGACAAGCATTTGTTACACCAGACTTGTATAAAGTTAAAAGTTTACAGAAAGAGCAAACAGTAGAAGCATTAGAGTAGCATAGGTACATCAGGAAAAATATGTAAACATTCAACTGCGGCAATATTCTCCCTTAAAAATAATATAAAAACTGCATAAAATTTGGTGTGTATAAATACCATGGGAGACGCGCTATATACAGCTAATGATATTTGGCCACATCTTTCATTGCGGAAGACCATGGAAAAGATACTAATTCTGAAGAAAATCAAACTCTTTCTGCCCAAGAAATAATCCAATTAGGAACTATCTTTGATCGAATAAAAAATGGAGCTAAATTCATCATCATCATCATTCTGGCTTTACAACCCCGCGTCGATCCTAGCCTTCTCAAGAATTTATCTTTCTTCGTCCCTATCCTTTCTCCGCCAAGAACGTATTCCCATATTTCTCATGTCTTCATCGATGTTATCAAGGAACCTTGTTCTGGGTCTTCTTCTTTGACCAATGCGTCTATCAAGGAGCGTTTTTCTAGCTGGTTCATTTTGTTCTATCCGCTTTACACCTCCTATCCACCTCAGACGTCCTATCTTAATATGTTCTACGATATCAGGTGCCTGGTATATTCTATAAAGTTCGAAATTGTATCATCTTCTCTACACTCCATTGTCATTCACTGCTCCATAGATTCGCCTTAGTACTTTTCTTTCGAAACATCCTAACATGTTTTCATTATTTTTTGTTAGAGTTCAGGTTTCTAAGGTATATGTTAGGATTGGGCGTATTATTGTTTTGTAGAGTTTTATTTTTGTATTTCTAGATATAATTGTGGATTTAATGTTTTTAAATTTAAATTTCATAATTATTTCCAGTGTTAAGAAGCTCTCCCAGGTATTTAAATTCGTTCACTGCTTCGATGAGGTCGATTTCTATAACGAGTGGTCGTAGGATTTGTGGTTGCGTGCTTATTTTCATGTATTTTTTTTTTGTTGGTGTTTCTTATTAAACCTATTTTTGTGACATACGTATTGCTTTTTCCAGAGCTAGATTGAACAGTATACAGGAGAGAGGGTCTCCCTGGCGCAGCCCATTATTTGTTTTAAAAGATTTAGACAGTTCCCCCTGAATTCGTCCTCTACATTCAACTTTTTTAAGAGTTAGTTTTGTTGGAGATAAATTCAATCCCACTATGTTTGTATCTGCTATTCAGAAAATGTTATTCAATGCGGCCAGTTTTGCAAAACACCGAGAGAGGCTTGGTTTCTGCTTTCTAAATTTTTGTAAGTTACAGTGAAGTACAGCAAAAAAATAACTTTGAAATCTAAAAATCTCGCAGATCACATCAAATAAAAATTTAAGTACAACCAACTGCTATTGGACGTGAAAGAAAGGCTCCTCATAATTTAGAAAGTTGTCTATATGACCATAAATTATTGGTTAGGACAAAAGCAGCAAAAATGTAACACAAATATAATTGTTTTGTTCTTGGGGTTGGTTTCACTTATTTTCTAACTTTCTAAAAAAAAACTTTAAAATTTATTATAGTTTTCCAATAAAGTCCAGTGTCTAAGATACCTATATTTTTTCAAATTTGATATTTTTCAGTATAACAGAATGGCTAAACTAAAAAAAGCATTACACTTTACACATGGTTAGTCTCGAGTTAGTAATAGACAGTTTGTTAAACAATGAACATGGTAGTGATGGAACTAATATTCGTATTCGCATTCGCGAATATTCGCATATTTTTGTATGTTCGCATTCGCGAAATTTGTGCGAATGTTTTGCAAATATAAATATAAGAAAAAAAATTGAAGATTAGATTAATAAAATAAAAATCCATTCACTTCTCAGTTTTTATTAAGAAAAGCCACTTTATTTTACAAGCTTTGAAAACTATAAAATTAGAAAACAAAATATAAATGAAGCAATGTAAACAAACAAAAACAAATTATTCTCTGAAACTTTCATTATCCTGAAGTTTTTAATTCTAGATAATCATCTTGAAAAAGCTAAGAACTACTCAATTACAAACTAAAAATAGTCTATGTGTTTTTTATGTAAAGAGTTTAAACAAACTCATGAATCAAGATCATGAATTACTTTTTCTAGAGTGGCGACATATTGACTCTTTGACTTAAAAAATACGCTACAACATATAAATTTGCTGTTCCACCTAGTAGCAAATTCTTGGATAATCTTAAGAGGTTTTTGATTAGCCTTTTGTGTATATTGGTCAGCTCATCTTGAGCAGCAGTCGAATGATGAAAAGGAGTTGCCATCTTTTTGCTTTTTGTTATGGCAGTCACGACAGATTCTTGAGCCTTCATCCCTGCTTTTAACGCGTTTTGAATCTTATGAGGATCACAGTCAATATGTTCAACATTTAATAAGTTAACACCTTTTTTCATATTAACACCTGTATCGCGAACTACACATTTCACTTTTTCTTTGGGGATTTCCCAAAACGACAAGATGTGTTTAAGTTTCCGGCGCGACAGCAATTAAAATTGCCAAATTAAAAAAAAAACTTAATATTGGCATTCGCATTCGCGAATGTCGGTGGGATATATTCGCATTCACATTCGCAAATGTTCGAAAAATTACATTCGTGACATCAATAGAATATGGTATTCACTTAAAATCGCTCCGTTTATGAAAAAATATATTTGGAAAAAATCCACGCCATACTACTGAATTCTGCGTAAAAACTATATAACATATATTGTATGACATATACGACATATGTATTTTAAACAAATGCCCATTAGAAATCTAGAAACGAAATCATAATATCCCCTTGGTATATTTATCACCAATCCCAGGGCCGTATTTACTTGCGCATTCTGTACGTACTGGGATCAGCGAATATGCTCACCGGACTCCTCCTACAAGCGAAAGTATCAGAAATTAGATTTTTATTTAGTGTTATTTGTTATTTAAGCAAATTTATGATTAAATTAATCTAAAACTAAATTGGGTCCTTTTAAAATCTATAAAGCAAAACTTTATCGTAATTGACATTTGCAATACCTTTCAAGAAAAGCAAATTGATGCTGTCATATTTTTGGATATTGGTTTGAAGAATTTTTCAAATTGTAGTGAAATATGACTAAACATTCCTCTTATTTATTTGTTCGATACTAATCTTATTTATATTAAACGAGCTTTTTATTTGCAGATGATCAGAAATTTTGAATTATCTTGGGACCAGCCAGACATGAGATTTGAAGCCAGGTTGTTATACGGTTTCATAGACCCACTTAAGCTTACCCTCAAAGAACTAAAGTAAAAACAATTACCGAAAACTAAGAAGATCTCATTTAGACTGAGTTATCTTAATTGATTTATTTTAATATCTTTTGTTTGATTATAAAAAATTGTGTAAATATTTAAATGTTTTATACAAAGATTGTTGAATTTATTTTTATTGAAAATGTTTAGATGATGTTTCAGTCCAGTTGTTTCTTTAATAAATAATTATTTGGTATATTTGTCTATTTATCTATTATATAAAAATGAATCCCTATTTCCCTATTATATGTCCGGTGATAATTTAAGAACGAGTTAAGTTTTCTGATACTGCGTAAAAAGTTCTTATTTAAAGGTAATTTAAGAAAATTGCACAGAAAATTGAAAAATTTTCTCGTAGGTTGTGCTTTTTCTACCTTTTTAAGTTGTATCTTAAGAATTTCATGGTTGAAATGGGTGACTAATATTGAGGTTATACGTAGAATGCAAATAATTATTGAGTTGTGAGTTTCGGAAAGGAGTAATAGAGGAAACTGGAAAACTAAAGCAAAGTCGAGGAAACATTTAAACAGGACATAGATACTGGAGTCACTCTGTAACGAAAAAGCTAAGAAGCATAAAAAGTAAGTAAAAAAAAGTTAAATTCCTGTATATGAAAGAGTGATTTCATTGGTTAAACGCCGAATATCTTCAAATTTAAATGTACACAATGCAGCAGCACTTTTGATCGAATTTGAAAAATGTAGCAAGCCCTGATAAGGTTTAAAAAAAATTTACACTACTTAGTATAAAATTTTATACTATATCTTTAATATAATATTTAAGTCTGTGCAATTAGTGAAAATTGTGAAAATTTTTCACAAATATCACCTTCGGGACAAACATATCTAAATACAACCGAAGGTTCTTCTTCTTAGTGTGCCTGTCCATTCCAAACGTTGGCGATCATTCTTTCTATGGTTTGTTGGTGGCTATACGGAATAGCTGTGTTGAGGTCTTCCCATACCATGCTCTCAGGTTAGCAAGCTTTCTTCGTCCTGGGGCCCCTTTTTCCTTCAATTTTACCTTGCAAAATGCATTGAAGTAGCTCGTATCTGCCTTGATTTCTCATTATATGTCCCAAGCACTGTAGCTTACAGCCCTTCGCGATGTTGACCAAATACGCAGTTGTGTTCATCCTCGCAGTACTTCTTCATTGGTAACCGAAAGTTACTGGTTTAAAACATCAGTGCTTTCATCCAATATAACAGTTACAAAACTTGCTTCGGTAATTTCTGACTTAATTTCATTAATCATAATTGTAGATATGGCTTCAATAATATCGCTTTGTACATCACTTAAAATCCCTGAAAAAAAAAAAATGATGTTTCTAGATTGCCAAATTTTTGATTTTTTTTTTTTGGCAATTAATGTTAACAATTATTTTCCTGTAATTGTCATAGTCACCGCCCTTAAAATGTCCCCGAAACGCTAAATTTTTGCTTGGCCAAAAAACATACGGCATCTATAAGTGTGCTAACGACACATCTATTCTTTTTTTAACAATTTCACTGTGCTTAGCAATATTTGCTTTAAATGCTTGGTTAAGAGAACTTTCGATTTTTGTTTTGCCAAATAATATCAAATTGGCTACTAATCTACATGTAACGGAGAAACTGCATGTCTCCTTTTTAAAACTCTAAAACTATTTACATAAATCATAGACTCCGCCGCTGATTCACCCATTTTTTTTTTCAACAATACAGTCTATTTGTCTTGCAACCGTACAACCAAGAATTTTCACACTACCAACTAAATTTAAAATATCGAACGGCTGTTTTTGATTTTTTTAAATTGTTTAAAATAGATGTTGGTCTTCCATTTTCCATAATCTCCTTTTTCTTCAAAATTATACAAGGAGAACGACTTTTCAAGTAGTTGATCAATTATACAGCGACACGCATCGGTACTAGTGGTAACACTGCAACAGAGTCGCATAAAGTCTCAATATTTTTGTTCGTCTAGTTGGCTATTTTTACTGAATTACTATTAATAATATAAATAAAAATATTTCAAAGTAGTCATAAAATATTTATTTGTAAGATTTTTTTAAATGTTTCCAATGGTAACAATGGTTACATTGACACTGCGTCAGTGGTATTCTTCGTTGTTTTCATTGCAACCTCCATATCTTCACTGTCAAACAAAGTCTGAAACTCGCTGCAATCTATTACATGCATATTATATCAATTATTTGTAATATATTTGGTACATAAGTCGGTACAAAATTGTATCTAATAATTCCTCAATACAAAATTGAATAGTGAAGGTTTTCTGTAACTGTTATTCTTATTTAATATTTAAAAAAAAACTACAAATTTTTGATTTGGGTGTGTTTTTATTTAGTGGGTGATAAATTCTACTCAACATTTTTTAAACAATTTTGAAAACTTAATACTCTATTATAATTATTTAAAGCAGCTTTTCTACCTCTCACTTTCTCATCGCAATCTCTTTCTCGTCACACTGGTCTTATGGTTTTCTTACCATCCGCTGTGCAACATTTCATTTCCTTATTAGCTGCTTTATTAATATTGATGACTAATTATTCAAATTTGTCTACTCTGGAAGTGAAACTTTCAATTTTGATACTGTTTGTTAAAATATTTTGATAGGTTTCATAGTTGGCCGAAGATTTAATCCATTTTCTACTTTGTTGTATTGTACTGTTATTATATCTCCCTCTTAAAATTGTACTTATGGGAAAGTGATCTGACGCTAGTGTAAAGGATGATATTTTTGTTACAAAAAACCGAATTTTAAATATTGGATTAAAAATATATATTATCATATTCGCAACATTTAATAAATAAACAAACAAAAGTGCAGATACCTTCTTTCTTAAAAATAATTAATGTATTTATTTGAAGTTGACCAGAGAATTTATCTGTCAGTATAAACAAAATTTGTTGTTTAAAATGACCTTGAATCTTGACCATTGTCAACAATTAGGTATTTTAGCATTTTTATCATTATCTTACAAGCCATCATGCTATCGAAACGCTCTCTTTGGTTGAAATTTTCAACGCTTTGTCAAGCCGCCAAATATTCCACAGCTCACAACAGAGAAAATTTTTATAAAAATTTAGCAGGCGCTCACAATGATGAAACGAATCCAAAGGGATGGGAAAATGCCACACCGTTTGAGAGCATGCCTGGACCGAAACCTTTGCCGGTGCTGGGAAATATGTGGAGGTTTTTTCCTGGTGCAGAGCTTCATAATATAAATACGGATAAACTTTTCCTACTGTAAGTATATTTTTACTAACATTACTTTGATTTGTAAAACCCTGCAGATCATGAGTATGAGTAGGCCTATAACCTGTTGTGAATTACAATATTTTAACAATTTATCATCATCATTCTCTTTATCTTTATCTCTATGCGGGTTGGCTTCCCTCATTACATTTTTCCTTAAGCTTGTATCTTGTAATTCGCTCTTATTTCGCTGTTTCCCTTTGTTTTTAACTGTCCAACATTGGGAATGCTACCTGTAGTTTCGCTGTAATCTTATCCAACACTAATGAAAATAAATAAGGACTATGCACCGAGCCCTGGTGCAAACCCTACGTTCACATGACATGTATCATTCTCTCACACACTCTTCTATCTTAACAGTAGTTGTTACTCCTTCATACATGTCTCTCACAATCCTTACATATTCACAGGGACTCCTTTTTTTATTGAGTATCCCCCACAGAATCTCTCGAGGATCTCTATCATATGCTTTCTCAAGATCAATGAATACCATTTGAGCGTTTGTTTCTTTATTCCTATATCTTACGACCAACTGCCTTATAATAAAAGTTGCTCTTATTGTTTGTAACAATAAAACACTGAAAACTTCGTTTTCAAACTTAGGGTTTGGGTTTGGGTTTACAAATTTATAGTCTCTAATGAAATAGGTTGAGGAGGGGAGAACTGTTTGTCTCAAGTTGGTCATTCAGAATTATATCTGTGTTATTTAATTTGTTGATTTCCATAGATTCTAACAAAGATAGCTTAAGGCCTTTATTTTGAATGTGAAGAATTTTAAATTTGTCAATAAAAGAATGATTATGATCTAGAAGGTGAAGTGATGTCGAATCTGTTTTTCTATTCTTAAAAGCCCTTTTATGTTCTGCTATTCGTTTATCAAAGTTTCTACCAGTTTGACCGATGTAAGTTTTTGGGCAGTCGCCACATTGAAGTTTGTACACACTACTATTTAACTGTTTTTTATTTTGGCTCTTGTTATTTTTAATATATTTGCCTAGGTTGTTATTTGTTCGGAAAGCTGGTGTTATTCCTTTCTTTTTTATGTGTTTGGCAATTTTTGTTGTTATTTTGCCTGTATATGTAATCGAGCAGAAGGTATTGGGTTTTTCTCTGGTATTGGAAATACTAATTTCAGGGATTTCTTGTGTAGTTTTTGATTTAACATTTTATTAATTGTTTGTTCGTTGTATCCGTTGTTTACTGCTATTTGCTTAATTATATTTAATTCTGTCTCAAAGTTGTATTTTGACATCGGAATTTCTGTTAATCTATGTAACATACTATGATAAGCTGCCAGTTTTATGTTGTGTTGGATGGGATGATGAATTGTGTATAGTCGTGTCAGTATGGGTAGGTTTATGAAATATGGAGAAGTCATGTTTGTTTTGAAGTCTGCTAATTTTTAAATCTAAAAAATTTATGGATTGATTTTGTTCTGTTTCTATTGTAAATTCAACATTTTACTATGAAGTGAATTAATATACGATAAAAATTGGTCGAGTTGCCTGTTAGTTCCTGTGAAACATACCAGTACGTCGTCTACGTATCTCCACCAATATAAAAACTGTTTAAATACGGGATGTTTTGAAATCTTTTTTTCCAGATGATCCATAAAAATATCTGATAGCAATGGGCTTAGAGGATTACCCATTATAAGTCCTGCACTGTTATTTGTATATATTTTATTATTAAATTCAAAGTAGTCCTGGTTTATGCAAACTTCAAGAAGATGTAAAATTTCAGATGTAATTATTGGATTTGTACTATTTTGGTCTAAAAGGTTTTTTACTAGAATAAAAGTTTCTGTAAGAGGGATACTAGAAAAAAGATTTTTTACGTCAAATGAAATTAATCTGGAGTTGTTAGGTAATTGAAAATGTTGTATTTTATTAACTAGTTCTATTGTATTTTTTATGGTAAATTTAGGTGAAAATTTAGTG